GGCCCCTGCTTCTCGGAGCTAGGACCCCCCCCAGGCCAGCTCCCCACGGGAAAGGAGCCAGCCACACGATATTTAACCCTCCCTCCACCCCACTGTGCCCCCCTGCAAGCTCAGAGCAGCTCCGGGGTGTGGCCGCATCCTGGCCATTAACGCCTGGGGAGACTCTATGGCCCAGCCAGGATGAGCATGGGGGGAGAGGAGCCCAACCCCCCTAGAGCCCAGCCCTGCCTGGGGCAGGCTCAACAGCACATTTGCCAGGACCAGCTCCATCTCCGAGCAAGCACCGAGCTGGACGAGACTGGCCCTGCGCCTGGAGCCGGCCTAGGGGCTCCTTCCCAGCACGCTCCCGGCCCCCCTACCTGGCCAGCACCGGGTTGCGTCGGTAATAGTCGAAGAGCCCAAAGCCGTGGCTGGGGCCGAAGGCCACCAGGTTCCACTCGGAGTGCAGCGTCACGGCGGTGACGGCGGCCGGCGGCATGCACTGCACCAGCACGCTGGGCTGGAAGCCCGGGCCGAAGGCGATGGAGCCGTTCTTGGGGGTGAGCCGGTCGTGGCCCTTCCAGGTGAAGCCCTCGCGGTCCTGCAGCAGGTCCACCGTGGCCACGCTGATCATGTGATCGGACCGCTCGTCACTCAGCTCCATGACCAGGACCTGGCACGAGGCGGAGGGGGCAGAGCGGCACTGAGGGCGGGTCCCTCCGGGGCATCTCCCTGCTACCCGCGGGGGCAGCTGGAGCTAGTGACAGCAGAGCCCCGGCAAGTAGACGAGAGCAGGCTCAGGGTTCTCCGGAGCACCTCCCAGACCTGCTGCATCGGCCGCTACCCCAGGGGCACCCCAGCGCCCCACTCAGGGCTCCCCTCTTCCCAAAGCCAAACGGGGTTTCAATGAGTCTCAGCTGGGCCGGGGGGGAGGGGGCCCTCTCCTCTAGGAAGCAGCTGGTCCATTCCTGCCAGGAGCGCAGGTTGGTGGGTGGGGGCCCAGCGCAGTGGCCGGTGGCAGCCGATCACTAACACAAGGGATTTCCCCTGCTCAGCTAGAAGCCAGCTGGACAGAGCAGACACTCCACAGCTGATCAGAAACTTACAAAGCTTCCCCAGCCAGGTCCCGCCCGCTCCCACCAGTCTGCCATGCCCCGAGGCAGATCCACCAGCTGCGGGTGCTGCCCTTCATCCCACAGGCCGGCTCACCGGGACGGCAGGGAAACACGCCCCGGCGTCAGCTCCCTAGCCCCAGGGAGAAACCCCCAGCCAAGGTCTGAGACACCCACCCTGCCCACCGAATACTTGGGCTCTGCCCCAGCCTCTGCACTCCCTTCCCCCTCCCTGTAAGCAAAACCCGGCGGCAGAGCGGGGCTGGCTGGCATCGCCCTCCCCCCGAGTCACCCGGCTGCTCTACCTGCCCTGCAGTCCCAGCCACCACCATCCGGGACGTGTATTTACACAGCGCGATCTTCTGGATGCCCAGCCGGGGGTCGTCGCTGTACGGATCAAAGCAGCCCACCTGGGGGATGGAGACAGGGAAGGGGGGAGGGGGTCAAGACACGGCAGGAGAGGGGGCAGGACGCAGCTTTCGTTCAGGGCTCCCGCAAGCCCTTGCAGAGTCTCCTTCCAGCATGGGCACCCCCAAGCCCCCTCCATTGACTGGTCTCAGATCCTGCCTCAACTCCCAGCACGACCGGCCCTTGCCAGGGGTCCCCGGCCTCTGCCACAGGGCTGCGTTATTGGACAC